ACACTTTTAGCCTATAAGGAAAAAATGTTTTTTAAGCTTCATAACAGTGGGAAAAAACTGTGGAAAAGGTCATTTAGGTTTAAAAAAAAAACACAAGCCGGTCAGCAGAGTCTGCAGTGAATCTCAAGAGAGACATTAGAGTTAGAGTTTTACTTACTCTGACTGACTTCAAGTATGATACATGTGTGCCGGGGACACAAGATATGTCTGTGGGCTCTTCAAAGGTATCTCAATTGTCTAGGCTTCTAGAAATCACCGATGCTCCGTCAGGGGCTTCGCAACAGGGCAGGCGACCCGGGGGCAGTTACCTGGGGCCCCCGAGCTGTATGGTGTCCCGAGAGACGGCCGGCATTGGTTCCATATATCAGTGACGGAATGATTGAACTGCTTTAGACACTTCAATGAGACACCCTTCTTGCCTGGAGCCTCCAAGGTGTCTACTAGAACAGTGTTTCCCAAAGACTGGGTCGCGACCCTCAGGTGGGTCGCAAGAGGGTTTTTTTTTTTTTGGGTCATGTTTCCCAGGAGTTCACGGTCATCGCAACAGCTGTCGGCACCACCAGGGCTTGTGTCTCTGATTTTTTGTAATCTTTTTTTTTGTAATAATTTTATTGATTGTTTGGTTCCGATATGACTCTGAGACACATTTCATCAAGTGCGTCGAGTATTTTTGGACGTACAACAAGTCTATTGCTTAAGTCTACACCATGTAATCTAATATAAGTGCACTGGAAAGCGTTATGTTTTTAACAAAGTTGTCCAAAACGCTTGATATTTAAAGAGAATTCCCACCATTATTCGTAGTAGTATTAGCATTAGTACCTTGATAAAATGCAGTTCGTGGGTATCGCACTTACGTCATGTATAAGGAGCAACAATGATTCCAATATATATATATTTGTTTCATCACTTAAATCATGAGTACAACCTCTTGAGGAAATGGATCTTATCGTTTCTAAATTGGAAGAAAATTAATTGCGGGTCGATTGGCAAAGTGCTACGACTTTACTGGAAAAGAGCGAAAGCCACATTAAAGTCGTAGCTTTGGAAAGAAAGTGCAGGGGTGTAGACGCGGTGTGGAAAAAGACATTTTTACTGCCTGGATATAAATTATAATCGTTCAATCCAACAGGCTACTTGGACAGTCGGTGTGTTTTCGCTTACAATCGGGGAACAGCGATCGTGTTAATCTGACAAAAAGTACGTCCATTTTCGAAAGGCTAACCGTTCTTAACTTCTCAAAGTTAAACTCTGTTTATATTCCATATATCCCCATCACTACGTCCATTCTGAAAATAAGACTCGTTTGACTGATAGGATGGTGAAAAATCAGGAGCCAAGTTAAACCGGCGTGGACCAATTCTGTTAGAGGCTACGTTTAAAATGGCTGAGGTGGTTATGGAAAAAAAAAAAAAAAGAGTGGAGCAAACGCATTTTCAATATGTCAAAAGAGAAATGTCTGCTGCTGCCGCTGCTGCTTAGTTGATGAAGACCAGCAGGGTGTGCATGACAGAGGAGAAAAATCTGGCAGTGAAAGCTGCAGATGAGATCAACAGCCTCGGCCAAGGAGCCTCTGTGTAAACACTGTCTCCGCTGTCAGTTCAGAGCCGGTGAGATTCATACTGTGAAGTTCGGAGACCCTCTGCCAATTTGCTGACTCGGTGCCGTTGGAGGGAGGGATCTGTGATTACAAAAAGACATGACTAATAATAACCAACAGACGTTTGCCCAAGGGTGTCTGAATGAGCGCTGACATATCGCCCTGTTTCTCCTCAAGGGGGCCCTTTTGCTGGCCCTCAGACCAAACAATCTGCAGCCTGTTCCATGTGTAGTTTGTTATGGTTCAGCCGAGTGTGTATAACTTTTTTACTGCAGTCTTTAAACATCTTTGTGTGCAGTTAATAAAGCTCGGTGTTTGCTCTGGACCTTTAGCTTGAGCGGAGTGTGAGGGGAAAAAAACAGCGATGAAAAAAGGTTATTATTCTGCTGCTGCTGCTGCAGCAGTAGTAGTTTGAGTTTAGGTAATGACCTGGGATCTGTTCCATTAACTGCGGTCACAACTCTCTCGAACATCGGAGTGGACCACAAAAATGATACAGAGCCCCTGCTCTTTCTCTTTCGGTTGGTTTCTCCTGCTGTCATTCCTGTAAGTCAGGCGTGCGCAAACTTTTGGGCTCGGGAACCACAATTGTCCTAAAATTGAGCAGCGGGAGCTAAGATAAATGACTTGAAAGTAATGCCTAAAGGCTAAAATGCTAAAATGCTTCATTCATCATTTTCTACGCCATCTATTGGGGA